CCGCGCAGAATCCCCATTCTACCCCTGTCTTTTATTTCTCCTTACGTAAGTAAAGTGCACCGGTGGCCTATCATTTCATTCGTGGCAGTCATAAAAATTCATATACTGCCAACTTTTAATTCAAATATAAAAAATTTTTGTCTGATGTATTAAAGGTAGTATGGTGGTTCTTAAGTTTCAATGCCACAGAAGCAGTTCTTTTTACATGTTTTAATTCTTTATGTAAAGGTCTGACTACACTAATAAACATTCGATAATAATGGAATGGTTTAACCATGAATTGAAAAACCTAAAACTAATGAAAACAAAATAAAATGTCTCATGTAAGATTGGAGGGAGAAGAAAGAAACAAACAAAGAATGTGCTTCACACGTGAAATACTCACAATTTGAAATTCTCAAGGAATAACACTTTCATCTTAAATAGTGATTGTCATCAAATACTGTGAAGTACAAACTTTAAATAGCAGTTATTTATATATGATAAACAGAATTGTTGAGAACAAAATTAACAGAATAGCTACAATGTTAGCATATAAGTTCGAGTCACATGCTTACTGTGCTCTAAGCTCATCTTGCTCTATTTTCTTCAAAGTTTGATTTCGTTCTCGAACAGAAACCCTTGAACATTCTAAATCATTGATTTCATTGGTAATAACTGTGTTGAGACAAATAAGACAATAAAAAACCAGCACTATCACAACTTGAAATTAAAAAGAATATGCAACTTAGTATATACTTATCTAAGCTCCTCTAAAAGCAAAGTCTCTCTTTTACACTCCTCTTCTAGTTCTTTGTGAAGAAGGTGTAATTCTTCATCAGCAACAACCTTGGATTTTGCTGCCTCCGTCTTTTGCCTGCATTCTTCTATTTTATTCTCATAATCTGCACCACATAAGATTACAAACGCACGTCAAAAACTTATGCAGGACCAATAAGCGCATAAGATCATCTGCTACAGTTTCATTTCATCATTTTTTTCCCCGATTACCCTTTATCCTTCTACAACTCGTGAAAGTACGAGGAATTAAAGTTTCAGAGCTAAATTTCCTACCAAAAAGGAAAAACATAGCTCTCGGAAAGGAACAGAAACGTGTTATTCCCTTACAGCTGTCGACTTTAAGTTATATGATCCCTATTATGCCTTCAAGATTTAGTTAAACCAACATTGTATTTGAAGTCTACAATATGATTCCACTTGCCAAACCTTCAATTAATAGGTCTCGAGCATGGCGTTCCAAACAAATAATGTTAATACAAATATTATCCAAAACGTCAATAAGTGCAATTAGCTTCAGATAATCGATTTCAGTGTCTCACAGAAAACAAAAGGATTCAACTGATTAACTTAAAAAATAAATAAATAAACAAAACAAAACAAAAAGGAAGGAATAGTGGAACAATAAATTATTTATTTGGTCAGTTTTGAAATTTTAGAATTCTCCACACAATTGTCCTGAAACACCAAAACTCTGTCAATCTTTAAAAGGGCAAATGCTAACTTTAAAAGAATTTGAATTAAGCCCCAAAACTATATTATTCACATCTTTGCAACACAAAACTAGTGGAAATTACAACAACCCTTAATTGAAACTTCATGCACCTAAACTCTTTTCCCTCTCGATTATTTTACTTTTTCTTGCTCTTCTTCTACAATTTTCTCAGCAAACAAACAGAGGGAAGTGCTGAAACAAACCTTGAAGCAGGTTCTTAACCTCGCTAGAATCGGCGTCGCAGGAAGATCGGAGGGATTTCGTGCCATCGCAGCACTGCGTCAAGCTGTTCGTGTCTCTCTTGTCCTTCAAAACCCTAACAAGATCATCGCCGTACGATATCAGCTTATCGATGTCCATATTTTGCAAAAGATCTCCCATTTTTCTCTGCGATTGCTAGGACCAGAGCTTCCAATACTGCGAATCAATCACGGATTCGTGAGAAAGATGGAAAAATCTAGGGTTGGAGGACGCGAAAATTTGAAATTTGAAAACTTTTATACAAAAGATAAAGGGAAAATTAAGGCTTTTTCCTCATTTTACACGGCATTTTATGCTTTTGCGTTGAGATTTTTTTTCCAAGCGAAATCGGAAAAAAAAAATAGATAGATAACGAATCACAGTAGGTTAAAATACAAACGCAGATAGAAATAAAAAATGAAATGCTTACAATATCAGGAGTTAGAGCAGTTCTTGTAAGCGTAGAAAACACAAGGAAGACGATGATCCTCTGAGCTTTGTTGTGGACTGGCGAGAATCGACTCAAAGGTGATGGCTGATAAGAATGGGAAGAAGAAGAAGAAGAAGAAGGAACAAGAGCGGGAAGCGGAATGGAAAGCGATTCGATTTTTTTTAATATATATATATATATATATATATTTTCCAATTTTGGGTTCCTTTCAAATTTATATTTATATTTATTTAACATACGTACGGTTGTAGTAAAATCGTGGATATGTCCGAGTGGTTAAGGAAAAAGGCTCGAAATTTGTTGGGCTTTGCCTGCGTAGGCTCGAGTCCTGCTACTCTTTTCTTTGCATTTAATTTTTTAAAAAATGTACAATCTCATTATTTTCGTTAAATTCCATTAAATGATTAACCGAATTAATTATTGTGCAAAATATATAATCTTATTAAGAGGATATTTTGATAAAATACACTCTCCTTGTCTCTCTCTCGCTCTCTACCATATACTTTCTATCTCTCTCTCACTAAAATAGAGAGAAAACAAAAACATTGTCACATAGTTGTTTGATCACCTCTCTCTCTTTACCATTTACTCTCTCTCTCTCTCTCTACCATTTACTCTCTCTCTCTCTCGCTCTCTCTCTCTCTACCATTTACTTTCTCTCTCTCTTTCGAATAGCTGCTTGATCACCTCAGCTCCACCAACATACTTTCTTTTTATAGGGGTTGTTCTTTTGAAGTGTAACTTGAGTATAATTTTTTAGTTGAATTTGAGTTATAACTTGAGTTAAAGTTGTAACTTGAATAAAGTTGAGTAAAAATGAATAAAATTTGAACTTAAAAGAACGTGAACTTAAATAAAATTGTAACTTGAGTTTAAATTTTTTCTGAATTTTGTTGTAAGAGAACAACCCCATAAAAACTTGAGGCAAACCCTAGTATTGGTTATCGTGTTAATTTTTCTGGTTCTTTAATTATTTTACAGTTGAAAATTTGGTTTGAAAACTTGAACCTATTTTTGTATTTTTAATTAATTTTTCTAAAGCTTGTTTGGTAACAAATTTTTTCTTAACTAGGAAAATATTATATATATTTCTTGAATCTTAATCAATCTTCACTAATCTGAGCGATACCAAACAAGGCCATAGCCCAATTTTGTAGTTGAAATTTTGGTTTGAAAATTAAGATCCATATTCTTTTTATCCTTTGAAGGATTATTCCTAACCCAAAAAAAAACAAACAAGTAATTAAAGGGTAAATTTTGTTTTTTGACCTCAAGCTGAGATTTTATTTTATTTTTTTCATATGAATTATAATGGCAGGGGAATAGTTCATAAATACACAATAACCAAGTAGCTTCATCTCCACCGTATTTTTGTGGATCTCCACCAAACAAGGCTTCAATCCAGTAATCCAGGATGAGCAGTTTGGCAATGGGAAGGTGGGTTTTGTATCCGCAACACCGCCGGTGGATCGAGAGAGAGGGATATGGAAATCGTAATTGATGAATCTGGGTTCTTTTTCTTGTTTTTTTTTATACCATTTTTTCTTAATTTGAGGTACTAATTGTAATCGATGAATATGGGTTATGCAATGAATCTGGGGGTATTTAAGCTATTTTACTAAAAAAGGGGCTGACGTGATGGATCATTTAATTATTTAAGGAAATTTAATGGAAAGGATGAGATTATACCTTTTTAAATAGTTTGGGTTCGTTTTGTCCAAAAAAAATTTAAAAATTAAATTATCACTTTTTTAAAAGTTTAGGGATTATTCATACAAATTATTTTTTAATTTTTAAAACGACTTAAACTTAATCTGTAATAATTTCTTAAATTTAGGATTCGTTCATTTCACAAATTTGAGTTTTTTAGTTTTAAGTTTCTACAGTTAAAAGTTATAAAAAAATGTCACTTTTGATTTTTTAGTTACAGTTAAAAACTTTTAAAAAATGTTACATTTCAACTCAAATTGAAAATTTAAATTCACAAAGACCTCGTTCATTTCACCAATTCGAGTTTTTAGTTTTAGGTTTCTATAGTAAAAAGCTATCAGGAAATGTCACATCTAACTATTTCTACTACAGTAAAAAGCTCTCAGAAAATGTCACATCTCAGCTCGAATTGAAAACTCGAATCCGCGAAGTGAACGAGGCAAAAATAAACTAAACCTTAATATGTAATAATTTCTTCCAGTTTTACAATTATCTTTTTCTTTTTTCTTTTTTCTTCTTTCGGGTGTTTGGTGTAGGATAATCTTTTAAATTTAATCTGTAATAATTTTTTAAACATAAGCTTTATTCATTTCACAGATTTAAATTTTTAATTTTAAGTTTTTACAATTAAACTCTTAAAAAATGCTATGTCTAAATTTTTTTAATTATAGTTAAAAACTCTTAAAAAAATGTAATATCTTAATTCAAATTAAAAATTTAAATTTATAAAACGAATGTGACCTTAATATGCAGTAATTTTTTCCAATTTTATTATTATTCTTTTCTTTTTCTTTTTTCTTCTTTTAGACGTTTAGGAGTTGTTTGGTTGGGAGATTCGTACCTCGATTCGAATCATAGTTCATAATTCGTTATAGTATTTTCTCTCAAAAAAATATACGTAAATTAAAAATAATTTTAATCTTATAATTTTAATTCATGAACTAAACGTCCTTAGTATAAGATAACCTTTAAATGAGGGTGAGAATGTTCTCATATTCTTATATTTAGTACAAAACTCGCACTTTTTATATTCAAAGTTAATATCATAGAATTCATTTTATTCTAAAATGAGATAATCTAAATATTACCTGACAAGAAATTATTTATTTTGCAAAGAATGTGGGTATGATGGGAAACTAATTAAAAAACCAAGAGACACAACCCTCCCCTCCTCCAACCATTTTGCAGCCGTCGCGACCCCACCACCACCGCCCACGGACTTGCCATCGCGGCCCCATCACCACCACGGACCCGCCGTCGCAACCCCATCACCACCACCGTCAATGAAACTCTGTGTTCAGATTCAGAAAATTTTTCAAAAAAGAAGGTAAAATGTGCAACCCCATAACAGATTTGATGAGAAGAGTGAGATCTTGCTTGTTTATTTTGGGTGTTTATGAGATGTCTCTACAGTTTGTTCGGTGGTAGTTTCAAAGCAGGTGGTGGTGTTTGAGATATCTCTACAGTTTCAGAGGAAATTTTTATTTTTTATTTTCGGATTTTTTATTAATAAATTTATTTGTTAACTTTTTTGTTTATTTTCTCAAATTTTTATTTTGTATTTTTTTTTCAAAATACTGATAATTAATGATTTTTTTTTATATAAAATAACATTACATTAGTAAGTACAACCAAACACAATAAAAATATATTCTCCGAAATATGAGAAAAAATCTTTGTAGGCAACCAAACATGATAATTTAAAAAAATAATAGAAAATATGATAAAAGAATCCTAAAAATCATATTATTTTTTATTATTTTTCTAATAATATAATTTTTACTGATTACTCATACAAAATGTCTCCTTTATATTATATGTTGCTAATACTATAATCATTGATTAACTTTTAAAATTTTAGCATTAACATTTTGCACAATCTATAGCTTTCACAAACACCAGCCATATTAAGAAAACCATGAATTTGATGATTATTAAAATAATAGAAATTTTATGATAGGACATGTATATTTATTTTATTGGTAGAAATTGTTATTTTTAACTGTTAATTTTAACAATTAGATCTGTGCATACTCAAATTAAAATTTTACAATATGCGAGATAAAATTACTCATATTTCATATCTGTTGAAAAATTATTCTGATGAGTAAACACGATTCTTACCAATAGAGAAAAAAGCGGTCTCCACCATAAATACACCTTAAAATAAGTGCCAACCTCCAATTTCTTTTGTCGAAACTAAAGAATGAGGGATATTGTGCTCGTGGATCGATAGTTTACTGTTGGTGACATCAAATAGCAATGATAGGTTGACAACCCTTCTCTTACATATTTCTCTAAATTAAGAGCTTTGAGTTTTTAGAATAAGTGATGAAAACCCAAAAAAGATGAAGAACCACGTATTGGAAAAAGTGGTAACGAGAAGCAGTATATTGGGGATTTCCTAATTGACCAAAAAAAAAAAAATCATCCAGGTTTGATCTGTACCATTTTATGACTAGTCTATACAGCAACCAATACTGCAAGTATGCTATAACCATCTATGAATAAAAGAGTAAAACAGAGTATAAAGAGTGAAAAAGAAAACAAAACAAAAAAAGGGAGGTTGTTGCTTCTCTTTAGCTTTGACTTGTCCAGGCTGATACTCTAACTAAAGGAACTCCTCTCCATTCTAAGCTAGCTTCATTTCCATTCAAACCTTCAATCCTCACTCCATAAGAGCTCCCGTTTCTTACCATTTCTTCGGCTTCGATAAGACTCTCTTTGCTTAGGCTCCAATCCTCCAGACCGAGCGCTTCCCCGAGATGGAAGCCCTCCTTCACCTCCTTCCACTTTTGTAACCAAGCAAGAGAAGAGATGTAAGGTGCAACAAAGAGACACTCCATGGTCATCCTTGCTTCCGAAAGATGAATTGGGAAATTTGATTCCATTGACTCCAACAAGGCTTGGTAATGTGCAATATGACCATCAAAGAATGGACTGAAACTAACACAACTCTTAAGCTTTTGACTAGGATCTCCATCTGCCATGACTATGATACCCTTGTTGTGAGTCTTGGAATTAACAGAATTAGCTAGCAAATGATCCTTAGCTACCCTTAGAAATTCCATGACAAGTCTTCTATTTCTTACCCTTCTCATGTGTGGTAGTCCCACCATACAATTGAAGGCCAAAAATTTTCTCCCTTTACCCTTTTTCTTTGCCTTGTTCAATTCACTCACCAAATCATCAATTCCCATCTCTTCAACCTTCAACTTTAGGCCAAATAATCTAGCATGACCAAGGAGATTTTTTCTTGTTTCCTCAAAACTCCACTGCAATGGATCAGATTCAGCTTCAATCTCTTCCCGCCTAATTGATGTCAGTTTTAGTGTCTTCTGTTGCCAAGCAGTAGCCTCGATCATCTGAGACCATTGAAGCCCTTCTCCAATGTCAAAATCCACTATGTGGATTGTCTCTGCATCGTCCGGTGCAGCTTCAAGAATCGCTGAATTTGCTGTGAAGTGAGCAAACTTTCCGTATGGAAAGCTTTGGTAGAACGCCTTGAACGCAGCATCAAAGTTTTTGAATGATTCTTGTTTCAGATACTCGCCTTGATCATCGACATCTTGGGATAAGTTGAAAGCAATGCGCTCCAAAGTTTTCCTGAGCGGGCTGACTTTCTCACTGATGCATCTCAGAATCACCTCCTTGAGCTCTCTCTGTTCATTCTCCGTGGCTTCGCCGTAAGCCCTGAGAAGATGAGAAACACTTTGTTCGGTTTCAATCTCCATGTCTTCTCCTGGCAAGATTAGTACTTTTTGGGTTGATATTGTGTCCATTGATGCTTCTGACTTCAATGATGAGCTAGGACTCCACAAATCATTTTCCTCCCCAGAGAATTTCTGTGAAGGAAAACTTCCCATACTCTCCTCCAAAGATCCATACAAGCTCTCAAACTCGCCACACAAATCAGGCTGAAATCCTTCCAAGTCAATTGGAAAATCCTCCATAAATGACATACCTTGCAGGGAATCATCACAAACTGCAACCTGGAGAGATTCACCAGAGATCACGGAAGAAGGAAAAGGGACCGAGGAAATCTCCGAAAGACAGTCAATTGGTATGAATGGAGCTGAGAATTCACCGCCACCAACAGTAGCATCCATACTGCTGAGACTGCAGTTTCCAACTTGATCCCAAGTTGAATCCATGACATCATAGAATTGCCAAGAAGGCTGATCAAAAATCTCAGGTTGCATCATCTTTCGATATTCTTTACGGGGTAAGAATAAGACTTTTGGGTTGGAGTTCAATTTCGAAACAAGTTTACTTTGTATTTATATGCAAATTGGTGAACAATGTAGCGACAGATTAGTATAAACAATTAGAAAATGGTCTATTTTAAAATATTCTGCAAGTCACGATCTTATCTTAATAAACAATTTACACATCATTCTCACTGACTTTCTACATACTTTAATTCCAGGTTCCCAGCTCAGGCTTCCACCTTTCTTGGCATCTTCTGGGAGTTGGTTTATGTTGGAAGTAATATCCTTTATTTAGCATTACTTTATTCCAAGGATTACTTAGATAAATATTCATGTCTTTTCAATGTAATTGCCTTTTCAATTAATAATAAATATTGTCTCATGCTTATTAAGAATAATTAAGAGGACTGTTTAGAATGACCCTATTCCTTAAGTCTGAAGAAACAACCAACGGCATGAATTTTTCATGCAATTACCAATATCTGTGGAAGCCCTTAAGGCTTTGAAGTAGTATATGTTGAGATTATCATTCGTTTTCTTCTGTTTTTTTTTCCCCCTCGAGAAAGGACAAGAGGAAAATGACCAAACAATACTACAGGAAGAGTTCAGTTTCCCATTAAAGGTACTTAAGTTAGACTAGCTGACAAGCATTCCTTGATAAACAAAGGTTTTCAATTTATTTGTCATGGTATCTGTGCAAAACTCTCTTTTAGCTACGATATAACATGATAGATCTTATTATGATTGACATACTAATCGAGTGACTTCATTCTTTTGACCTGCAAGAACACAAATATGGAGAGTTGAAAGAAACAGATTATGGGTTAATTGTGTTTCTACTAATCCGTACCTGTATCATAGTATTTTGGGGGTGTCATCCTAGAACTTGGACTTTCAAGTAAGTAGAGTTGCCCAATGGCTTCCTAAGTTTATGTTTATTAGTACATTTAAATGATGTGGAATTCATTTTTCTTTTAACTCTTACACGTCTCAACAAGAATATGCTCTCTTTGGAGTTACTAATTTTGTATAATTGGATGAATCGGGCCATTTTAATACCATACAAAAATTTCACTTACTAATGATTTGGATTTCCATCTTAAAAGGTCAACATGTAAAGTGGAATAGTCAAATGTTCTTGAATAAAATGTGGGACTCGAATTTATTTTGTTGTGTTATATCAAATAAATTAGGACCACCAAAGAAAAGAGTTTGCCGCAACTTCATGCAAATTGTAACCACAAAATAGTCTTTATTTGTTTTTCACTGCATGATTGCATTTGTTATTTTAGATTAGGATAAACATCACATGATTCATATTCCATACGTGTCTATTATCCATATAAGATCAAATGGTGTATTTATTACTTCATAAGAGCATAGACTTTTGGAGCCACGGCTCATTTAATATATGTTATGGATGATGTTACACATTTGTCAACGACTTTTTGATAACTCCAAATGGTCATTTTTCTGATGTGAATTTTTGGATATCAAAGTCCTGAAAAAAAAAAAAAATAATAGTTACATCAATGCATATTTCATTATATGGAAAAGGTAGTTGAGCCATGAACGACTCTGCAATATAATCTATATGGAAAATGCTGAATAGCCAAATGGGGATTTTTGTTTCCATTAGACACAAGGTGCGGGTCCACCTGAGTCTGATGTGGAGAAATCCTCGTTTGGACAAATAATATTGCTCAATATATATATATATATATATATATATATGTATATATATATATAAGCAGAGTCATACCAGATGACTTGTCACTGACGACTATCATGGAGTGTCCTGTTTTGGAGGCCACCAAAGGGGATCTATCTGCCTTTTGGAGCAACTACAAGTCCATTACTTGATATTTTTTTTTTTAATTATGTTGTCTTTTAAGTGTCTCTATACATATAACTTCCACTTCTCCATGAAATACTAATTAATTGGGAAAATCAAAATCAAAATCAGAATTTGAAAATCAAATGAACTAAACTTCTTAAATAAATATTAGCATTATATTGGGTTTCAACCTCCTCATATTATAAGATTATATGTTTTTGTTACCAGTAAGTAAAGACTGAAGTTTGATGTACTTTAGTACTATATTATATACAGTAAGGACAATAAAACCCAAATGGTTATAATTGGCAATTTTATATTTGTATTTAGAGCTTAATGATGCGAGTTTATTTTTGTATAATAAATTTCCGCAAGCGTACGGTGTCAAGTTTTGAGTATAAGGTGAGTGAGTATCGTCTCCACAGGGATTGGGTTTAGAATTGCCATTAAGTACCGCAATTATTGTAACTTAACTTTATCTAGGCAACCTAATAAAATGACAATTAAGAAAATAAAACAAAATAAATATGAAAATAAGAAAATAAAGTATCTATACACAAATGGTCTAGGGACTTGATTTCGCTTTATTATTCCTATGTTCATCATATTATGTAATCGCTAATCAATTCCATTCAATTCATTAATCAAGGCTCTAATGTCATCTCGCAACCTCTCCCGAGTGCCTCACAAGAAATTGTATTTAAATACCCAAAATAATATCCCTATACGAAATGAACATTTAAACACAAATTAAGTTTCGCCTTTAGAATTAGAAAATAGGAATATTGATCGCCTCCCGGCCTCACAACGACCTAAATCCTAATTTGATTATTTAAGCGTTGATCTCCTCCCGGTCTCACAACAACTTAGACTATGTTTCTCAAATCTAGATAAAGAATTCAATCTCTCCCGAGCATCAAATTCGCAATCTAAAAATCATCTAACTCATTGGCCAAATAAATTAAAAGCATTAAGCATAGAGAAACATAAATGAATTGAAAATGAAATTAAATTAACAATCAACAAAATATTCAAAACATAGTTCAAATAAAACTACATCAAGTCCTAGATTTAATGTCTAGCTCAACATGAAAAAATAGATGAAAGAAGATAAAACTCAATATCCATTGAAGAGCTTCCAAGGACCTCCAAGATGAAGGATTTCGGCCTCCTTTTGATGTTTTCTTCACTTTTTCGGGCTCCCCTTCCAAATGGCATATCTTTCCTTTTATACTACAACATTTCAGAGCTAGGGATTTAGTCGCGCGTTGCAGCCCGCGTGAAAACGCGTTGCGGCGCGCATTTTTAGAAGAGAGATTTCACTCGCAAGGGGCTGAGATGCGCTGCAGCGCGGAGGACACATTCCTGGGCCCTTTTGGCGCGCTGCAGCGCCCTTTTTTGCATTCCAAGCCTCCTATTTTGTGCCTTAAAATCCTCTTTTGCCTCCTCTTGCCATTGATTCACAAGTTAGGCAAATATTCTTCTTTCTTTCATGCAAAATCATCTAAGTTCACATTTATTTATAACTCCTATAAAAAACACACAAAAGACATTAAACTAACAAAAATGTTTGAAAACTTACAAATATTCAAGCTTAAAAATACTTAATTTGTTGGTAGAAATACCCGTCATCACTTAACTAATTGGTTTTGGTGCTTTGGAGCAAATTAATCCTATACATGTAGAAAGATTGTGTCATATTACTTGTTAAAGGCAAGTAAACAAAATACCCATTATACTTTGGTCGAAAATAGAACAGAAAATGAAAACAATGGAAAATAGTTGGAGTAAAAAGCATAATTATGGGATAAGAATGTGCAGGAGACTTTGATTTATCCTTTTTACTGTCCTCTAATTAGCAACCTATGAAAAGGAAAGAAAAGAAACTTTATTGTGCTGAAGAAGGGAAGAGACTAATCTCCGGTATCCAAACACAAAAGGAACCATGAAGTCATTCAATATATAGAACAAACTAACAAATATATGTTTGTCAATATCTCTGACTTTCATGTCCAATAAGTGAAAGATATTTGGAATTTTGGATTTGCAGTTAAAAAGAAATACTAGAAAACAAGAAAACTGTTTCCCGAAAACAATCAATCTGCATTAAGTTGCGTCAAGTTTTTGCTTTTTGAGTTGTGACTTCTGCCTTTGTCCTGTATTAGAATAATATAATAATAATAACGATGATAATATATTTATAATGAAGTATTGATGAATTTTTAATAATTACATTTTCATCAATAGTTACTGTTAAATATAATAATTTGATAAATTGATAATGATACCTGAGTGAATATATTTAAGAAAGTAATGTATATATAATTTGGTGTCGTGTTTCTCATTAGTTAATTAAGAATACAATCAATTGTCAATTACTTCCTTATCTTCATATAGAATTGGATGAAAGGAACATTTTCGTTGGAGCTTGACATGCATAATCATAAAGATGATGGTCATTCGTATTATTTTGATTCTAGTCTTTATCTACTTTTTCATTAATTATTAATTCTGGTAAAATGCATTAGAATTTAGAAGCAGACAATGCAGATATCAACGTGTCAAATGTCCGAGAGTTTGTTGGAAGGAGGCATGAAAATGGTATCTTACCAGAATGATCTCTTGATATTTAAAGCCTTGAGTATACTTTATTGTTTTAATTACGTTTGTTTTCTCATCCATGAAAGAGTCCTTCTACCTCATATTGTTGTCATTGTTAAATATGGTTATAATCATATCAAAATGAAAAAGCGTAGAAAACAAAAAAAAAAATCTAAGATTTTACATACGGTTGCAAAATAAAATTACGGGTAGTTTATTTTTTCAAATATCACCATAGATATGCATTTCTCAATAAAAAATAAAGAAAATAGTTATGAAACTATATTTTTACCCTATTGATAAAGCAAATTTCTTTAACCGTTTTATTAAATTGTAATGGTCGGATTTGTTCATGAGTGTGATAACTTTTGTGTTGTATGGTGCAGTAGTTTAAGGTGAACACTCATTACTCAGATCCAATCGATTCTTAACAGTTAAAAAACTTGCTCTATTAGTGAGGTAAAGTGCAGTTCTTAAAAAATAAATGACAAATGCATAAAATACACACCCAAAATTAACTTATAAGAACAATGATATACAAGTCACGATTATTAAGAATAAGCATGGTGTG